ACCTAAAACCTTTTCTTGGTAGTTCCTCATGCCCCCTATGTTTCTTAAGTATATGTTAACTAGTTTCAGATGTGTGTTGTTCTCTGACTCAAAATCAGCCCTTTATTTTAAAAAAAGAAATTGTGTAATTAGGACGTAATTGCTTTGGATATTTTGGGTATTTAGAAGAGAGGGTAATTCAAAGGCCAGAGAAATTAAACTTTCACAATGTTCTTTACGCATCTGTAATTCCTTTTTAAAAATACCCTGTAAAGACAGGCCTGGTAACTTAAAAATAAATGAAGGTCTGTGTGTTTTTGAAAAAAAATTAACATCAGTTTTAACTGTGATGCAGGTTTAGTGATTTTTTTAAGTTAAATTTGAGGGAGGACCACTGAAGAGTGGGAAATCAAGAGATTATCTAGTGCATCTACTCAGCAGGCAAGTATCATCTAAAATAACACCTAAGGGGCTGGTGTTGTGCTGTGAAAGGTAGAGCCACCATCTGTGATGCCAGTATCCCAAATGAGTGCTGTTTGTGTCCCCACTGCCCCACTTGTGATCCAGCTCCCTGCTAATGGTCTGGGAGGAGCAGCAGAAAATGGTCCACGTGTTTAGGCCCTTGTACCCACGTGGGAGACCTGGAAGAAGATCCTGGCTTTCGGCTTCGGTGTGGCCCAGGCCCGGTTATTGTGGCCATCTATGGCATAAACCAGCAGGTGAAAGATGTCTCCCTCTGTCTCTCCTCTCTCTCTAACTATTAAGAGTGGAATATAGGTTCCTGGCACCAACTGGAAGTTTATGGATGTGTGCTCTGTCCTGCACCTTTAATTAGTTGATATGTCTATGTTCGGGGCATCACTTATCTGTTTAGCTGTTTTTTTCATGTATAAATTGAAATGTTGGGCCAGTGATCCCCAAGACTTTACTTACTCAGGAATATTGTGTTTCATGAAGCAACCATTATCTGAAAAGCTATATTTGTGCATCTGGAGGATAACAAGTTTGCCTCTAAGTGATAGAATCTCGTATTAATTTTGATAATGTTATAGTTCAGGTGCTCATTAACAAACAAAATAGGTCTGAAATATTTTGGATTTTAAAATAAATGCCTTACACTAGAATTTGCTATGATCCCTGAATGAGACAGGGTTATAGGATTTGAAGATTGATTTCCAGCCATTTCGGGAAATTAAACTAAAAGTGCCATTCTATACTATTGATAATTCTTTTTTTTTTTCCTTTTCTAATATTATTCTTACTTTTTTTTTTTTTGTTGTTCCAAATCCTTGTCACTTTTTCTTCAGGAAAAAAAGATTACGCAAACATCTAGTTTCCACTTGTGAATCTCAAACAAACATAGGGAACTTTCACTCAAATATGTATAAAGTAGTGTAAGAGCATCAATGAAATAAATTGCAAAACTGATCGTAGAAGAAGTAAATCAGTAGCCATAGAAGAAATAGGAAAAGTAGCCCAATAGTAACACTAGGCACAAGCTGGTGTGAAATTTTACCAAAACTTTAAGGAATGTCTAGGATTGTTTTAAGTATTAGAAATTGGGGCAGGCATGGCACAGGAGTTAAGCCATCACTTGCACACCTGAATCCCACATCAGACTGCCACTTGAGTCGCAACTACTTCACTTCTGATCCAACTCCCTACTAATGCACCCTGCATTAACTAGACCCTGAGGGCATCCCTGACTCCTGGGTTAGGTCTGTGCCAGCACTGGCTGTTTTGGGCATTTGGGGAGTGAATCAGCAGATAGAAGATCCTTTGTCACTCCCACCCTCCATGTCCGTTTTTGTAACTCTGCCTTTCAAATAGATGAAAAATAAACACACATTCAAAGGGGCCTTTAAAAAAATGCAATACTTGAGATCAGTGAAAAAAGCAGGGAAATTTCTCATTAGTGTTCAGGAAAGGGATATAGTCCTTCCCTCTACAACTGAGATTTGCCTCAGGTTCAGACAGTTGGTACCAAGCATGAAAACAACAGCAAGGGTCCTCAAGCAAAACCTTGAATTTGGGGCCAAGTTTGGCAGCCCTGTGCCATGTTGATGCATGCATGAAGAATTAGATCAGGAAAGACAATTACCAGCCTACGTAGACTTTGCAGAAAATGTGGATATTCTTTAAAATGCACTTGTATTTTATTCAATTTTCTCTTTTCCTGAACATTAATTATATGTGGATTACACATTGCCAGGAGTGAGACAGTGGATAGGAAATTTAAAAATGAAACAGGAACATTGCTGTCCTAAGAACAACAACATGAAACCCTTTATGTGAGAGGCAGGCTCATGCACGATGGTAAAGGCAGAGAACAAAGAATGAGGCAGAAGGGAATAGCTGGCCTGATGGCAAGAAATCTTTCAAGATCTGGGGGCCAACAAAGGAACATAATGCTAAGGGCCAGGAAATCAGGCCAGAGGACAGAACAGACCTCAGAAATCTCCCAGTAGGATGATCAGTGATGGAGACATCTCCTATGGCCTAGAAAAGGTGAGCAAAGCCACCTGTTTATAAATAGTAAGCTTCTGACTTTATTTCTTCTGAACCTTGTCAAGTTGTTCCCTGTTAATTTATTGGGAAATCTAAGATGAAAGAAATAATGTGGGAGCCAGCGCTGTGAAGTAGTGGGTTAATCTGCTGCTGGCAATGTTGGCATCCCATATGGGCCCCATTTTCAGTCCCGGCTGCTCCACATCCAGTCCAGTTCCCTGGAAAAGAAACGGAGGATGGCCCAAGAACGTGGGCCCCTGCACCGACTTGGGAGACCCAGAGGAAGCTCCTGGCTCCTGGCTCCTGGCTTGTGATCGGTTCAGCTCCAGCCATTGTAGCAATTTGGGGAGTGAACAAGTGGATGGAAGCTCTGTCTCTCTCTCTCCCTCTGTAACTCTTCCTTTCAAATAAATAAGTAATCTTTTACAAAAGGAAAGAAAAAGAACATGAAGCCGAAACAGGAGGTAAACAATGAGCATTTAGTAAACAAAGGAAGAAGAAGATGCCCAGTACATCATATTTCAGATGTGAGGAATAACCTCTTACTATGAAAAATAGAAGTCTAGTATCACTGGTTATGACAGAAACTTTTAGATACTGCCCTTTGGATACCAATACTATTTAATCAACTTCATAATGAGAGAAACAGAAAGAGGTGGGTATAGGTGTGTGTGTGAGAGAGAGAGAGAGAGAGAGAGAGAGAGAGAGAGCCAGCTATACTTCGAAGTGTTCCACAAAAAGAGAAATTCCCTAGCCTCACTTGATGCTCATGTTAAGGGATTTGGGTTTATTTTATTTCCACATTAAGTAAGTGTGCAATTTAAATTGTGGGCATTGCATTAGTAAATTTGGTGCTGTGAACAGGAGTGCAGTGCCTTTTAGAGAGATTTTTACCATGTGCATTTGGTTTGCTTGGTGACCTTTGAAATTTTGTTTTGAGCTGCTGTCAGAAGCATAATCATTTTTCATTCTGAAACAGATTTTAACAGCTGCAAAGGTAGATCAAGCTAGGATACTTTTAATAAAATATTAATCTATCTTTTTAATGTCAACCCAACTTTTAAAACTATTCATCAGCTACCTAAAACAACACTTCAGGGTGCTAGAGTTGATTCTAATAAATGCCTTTTCAATTAAACATTCTTGCCGTGGTCAGAATACAGTTAGAAAGTTTTCCAGTCTGATTTGTCTATAGCTCAGTCCAAATTATTTTGTTTTTAAAATTAATTCAATTTGAATTTTATTAACTCAATAATTAATTTGAATTTTTTTTTATATTTCAGAGAAGGGGGATTGTTCTGAATTCTGGATAGTTTAAGGCTATTGACTTTTTAACAAAATTTAACCTAAATATCCACTTTAAATATGTGTCATTAAAAGGTTATTTACGTTTAAAATGCTGACCTTTCAAGATGTACACTCTTCTAAAGCAAGAGTTTCTGAACATTGGCCATGAAACCACTGTCTTGGGCTGACAAATGGATTGGAAATAAGCTACCCAACATTGGGAATGGGCCATTAATTTTAATCAAAGGTGATGCAGGAAGGCGAATGGGATGCATGACAATGTCAACAGCCCAGTAGGTGTTAAGAGACCACACAGCCTTCCTTGTTAGTTGGTTGGGCCATTAGTTGAGGTTGGGTGAAGACAGAAAGCCATGTCTGGAATTGAATGACCAGGTCACTCCAAAATCTAATGGAGAACTCCCCATTTCAGAAATCACATTGTAATGCCATTAGAAGTCAAGGACAGCACTTAGAAAATATTGGAGGATTTTTAAACCAAGCACCTTGCTAGTTCTTACCAACTTTGTCAAGCTTCCTATTTTTCTGCTTCCGTTCCTTCTGAATGGATCATTGATATTTACAGAGGACTGAGTAATCAGACTTAGTTAAAAAAAAATCTTAAAGCCTGTTTGCTTTTCAGAATTACATATTGTCCATTGTAAAACTCTCATAAATGCCAGAAACAATAGCCTAGCAAAGGAATGAAACAAGATAATTAATTCTCTGTGGTGATTTCATTGTCCTTGTCCCTTTCTTGAGTATAGAAATAGTTTCACTAATTGAAACTAAGCTTTCTTAATTGCTTTAAGGAAAGCATTTGTTTCATAATTGCCAAGGCCACTGTGCTTGTGCCTTCCTGTAAATTGTCAATACTGGCTGATAACATTACTGATGTTTATGGGAGTGAAATCCTTTTCTTTCAATTAGAAAGTCTATTTCTTTATTTTGAGTGTTTTCAATTACAAGAAAAGGTAGCATATGACAGCTTGAATTAATGATGTTTATAATAAAGACATAAAATGCAGAAAGGACAAAGAAACATCTTTATATCTATGCCTCAGGTTTGTTAAGAAAGTTCATTTATTCTGACACAGCACTGAATACATAAGAAAGACATGTATGACTGCATTAGCAATTTTTACACATGTTTAAGAAAGAAAAGCAATTATAATCCTGTCTTGCTAATGGAATACTGTTCTAAGTAATAGTCTGTGTTCTTCCTGTAGATGAAGATCAGCTCCGTGCAAAGGGTTATGACAAAACACCAGACTTTATTTTGCAAGTACCAGTTGGTAAGTCCTTAAACTCTGCATGCATTTGATTGTAGAGAAACAGCATGTGTTTTTTCCATATTTCTTTTTTGTTAATGTGTTAATACTAGGAAATGGTACCAGAGTAGATAGCCCTTCATGGGTTACCTAGCTAGAAATGATCATCTTTAAATAGCAGAAAATAATAGGTTTAGAAGAAATTAGGCCTTAGAAACTTTTATATATACTTGAGAAATAAACATGTCTTTTAACAACATCCTGGTTGCCATTTTTTGACGTATTTCTCTAAATTTTGAATGTTTTCAACACAATATTGTTGAAAAGTCACGCTTACCGTGGCCTGCTTGATATGTCACTTGTCAGGTCTCCAGACCAGGAGAGGTACTTTTGAAAACTGTGATGAAAATAAAAGGGCTGTGATTGTAGCATAGATATTCCTAGGAACGAACTTGTACAGTCATCGCTTTATAATTATATCTGTAGATGACGGTAAAGACTAAACCTCAGCTTACTAATGTGAAATGCAGAGAGGCCTGTGCAGAGTTGAGAATTTTCAATCTTCCCTTCACCATCTATTAGTAATGCTTTGTCCCTTAGCTGTAGAAGGGCACATAATTCACTGGATTGAAAGCAAAGCCTCATTTGGTGATGAATGTAGCCACCATGCCTACCTGCATGACCAGTTCTGGAGCTACTGGAATAGGTAAGGTCCCATTATTTTTCTCTTAAGATAAACGATACTCTGCTGAAATCTCATTAAAAAAATATTTTGTTTAGCTGGTAAAAATGCTAGTAGCCTTTGTTTCTAGTAAATACAGAGTCTTGATTAATGTATTCATTTCAGATAATTTTAACTTCTCGCCTTTCATATTATTGCTGCATTTTTTAAAACTGAAAATCTCTGTATGAGGTCAAGATTAGTATATGCTGCATCTCAATTTTACAATAATATCAGTATCATTTAAAATATGGATAGTAAGATGTGATATATATTATGAATTAACATTGGATTTTTATTCTTTTGATGTGAAATTTATGCTTAATATCAGACCATAAAAAAATAACTTATCCTCAGCTTTCTGAGGAACGTGAAAATGATCTGCTTCCACCAGGGGAAAACACTTTCCCTACCAACTTCTGTCAACATTCCTGAAGATATGGAGATCTCAGGGATTAAGATAGGGATGGGTGTGGGAGCTGCTATTTTGTTGACTGACTATCCAACCACATGCCAGGGCCTACGGATTATCTCAGTTAATCCTCACAAGGAAGTCACTTTTATCCACATTTACTATGGATGACTAAGCTGACACTCAAAGAGAGAAAATACTTTACCATCCAATGGGTTCTCATGGTCCTGTGTCTCTCTCTCACTCCCAAACCTGTCCTAGGTCCAGCACAGTGCTATTGTCATGTACAATGCAAGTGCTGAAACTGTGGCTTTCTCTATGATCGCAGTCCTGAGTTTTCACGCCGCGGTTTTTCTCCTCAGAACAAGAGGAGAGTCGAGTGGTAACCTTCCTAATTACTGTGCTGCAGTCACTGACCAGCAGTGAGAAGACGATGATAAGATGGCACTGGTTCAGATTGTAAGGAATCAGGCAGCAGTGTCCATGGACAACAGCCTTGTCTTGGTAGGGGCAAGTGGTTGGGGAGTGACAGGCTACGAATTTGACATTATACCGTTACTCAGCTCTGCAAAAGGCCAGTGGACCTCGCCCATAGCAGCTGTGTGCTAAGCTAAGCCTACTTTTTGCCATGGTAACAATGATCATGACAAAATGCTGAACGTAATGGCTTTCTTGATTTTCTTGTGTAATTGCGCGTGGCATCCGAGCTTTACTTTACAGGGATGGAGGAGGAAAGCGCAAAATGTTTTAGAAATCAATGCTGCTTCAGCGTTTCCTGTGTTTTATTCAGCCATTATTCAAATTAGCAGTAATGTGGCAAATTGAATTTTAGATTTTTAGCAATTTTATGATGAGTTTGAAATAGTAAAGAAAGCATCATTTTTGATAGTATGAAGAAAGCAATGACAAGAAAATCACATTGCGTAAGTTCAGGTTACTAACGGATTTAAAAAACCAATCAACTCTGTCAGTATGCATTGAGACTATTTTTCCCCTTGTGTTGGTGGTCAGATATTTTCTAAGGAACAATTACAAATTGAATCCCAAGTAGTAGTGCTTTCTTGAAAATTCCAAAAGCATATCTTCATTGCAAAACAGCTCGACTATTGATTGAACGCCCACTATGTGCCTGGCACTCACCATTTAGAGGCTGATTAATATTCTAGTCACCTGAGTTGGTAGACATATGGGTTACTGATGTCACTGGAGGGGGTTTGAGTGATAGATAATTTAATACAGTTTTCCTTTGGGCTGGATTTTTATATTATTTTGTTGCATTCTGATTTTCCATTCTAATGATTTTTTTTTCTTAGACTACTATTGATTTGCATTCCCTGAACGTGTTATTTGAATATATACCAGCTAAGTTGGCACAATTCATTTAGGGCATGTTTTAATAGGGAAAGCCAGCCTTGGTTTTAAGTGGTTCAGATCATTCAAGGAGGAAATACCTTACACAGAAGTTCACTGAAGTTAGTAAATGTCTGTTGAGATGCCAAGACAGCCCAGTAGTGCCCAAGTTCAAAATAAAACATAGAGACACTTACTTATAAAATTCTCACTATGATACTGATGCAAGCTTACCAGTAATGGGACATTTTGACAGAAGAACCACTTGTGAAAGTATAGAATTCTACGCTTTTATCCCAACACCATTCACATAGCAATGGCTAAAGTTCATCAGAATTGGAAGAGATTCTCTACTATCTGTTGGAAGCCTGTCAAAGTAGCTGCTGATTGGCTAATCGCTTCGTTTGTCTGATAAGCTTCTAGTTGACCTAAAAGCTATTATTTAATTGTCACACTATTTTCAGTTTTAAATCTGGATTTTAGGAACTGTCATATTGCATAGTGGTTAAGGTGCCACGTGGGACCCTTGTATTCCATATCTGAGTGCCTGGATTGTGTCCTGGCTACTCCAGTTTCCAATCTAGCTTCCTGCTAATGTGCCCCCGGGAGGCAGCAGATGATGGCTCAAGTGCTTGAGTCCCTGCCTGATACGGGAGACCCAGATGGAGATCCTGGGTCCTGTCTTTAGCTTGACCTAACCCTTGCTTTTGCAGGCATTTGGAGAGTTAACTAGTGGATGGAAGATCTTTCTCCATCTCTCTCTCTCTCTCTGCCTGTCAAATAAGAGGGGGGAAATAAAAGATTGTTTTTATAAGGCTGTTTGATTACTATTTGTAGAGTAATGCTTTTATATAAACTCATTTTCCTACAGAGCCTCTAATTTTTAGATTGAAGTTTCTGTGTGAGTTTTCTTTTATAGTATATTAATAGTGATACTAAACCTTTCAGCAGCTTTGAAATGGTGGATCCCTCCCCTCCTCTTTATTACAACATTGTCTGTTCCTGGCTTCCACGATAGCATTTTCTTCTGAGCCATCATGCCAGCTCATGTCTCCTCAGTATCCTCTGCTGACTCCTCTTCCTCTTCCCAGCCTCTAGGCTGGAGAGCCCTGGAAGTCAGGGACCAGCCCCCTGCCCTCTTTTATCCACACTCAGTCCCTGAGGTCACCTCAGGGATCCCATAGGACCTGGAGCTTTCTACACCATCTCCACACTGCTGCTAATTGTTGCCTCTAGCCTTAGTATTTCCCCTGAGCACAAGTGTGTTTGTCCAGTCAGTATCTCCTCTTGTGTCTCTGACAGCCTTCCCAATCTAGTTACTCCCTTTTTTCCTCTCAGTTGGATGGATCATGGCACAGTCTGCCTGGACACTCTTATCAGAATCCTCAGTAACATCACAGATACATGAGTGAGTTCTTACAGTTCTGTCCTCACCACATCTCCAAGCCGGTCATTGTTAGCACCCCCACTGCCATCACCTCAGAACTCTTGGCATCTCTCACAATTGCTCTAGCCCCTCACTGATCTCACGGCCCTTCGGTCAGTGTTTCACAGCCCAGCCAGAGCAACGCTTGGACGATATAAATCAGTTTATGTTGCTGCCCTGCTCAGAATGTCGGAGGGGGTTTTCCAACACATTTAAAATAAAATTCAAACTCTTTACTGTGACATTCCAGGTCCGCTTCATGACCTGCCTCCCTTCCAGCCCCAGGTCATTCGTTCCCTGTTTACCTCCCTCCCCTCAGTTAAGGCTGGCGCGCGCTCTCTCTCGCTCTCGCTCCCTCGTACTTCTTCAGCCGCTCTGGCTTTCTTGATCTCCTTGAACTCTCCCCTCCTCTCGCTTTCTTCTACTTCTCTGTCTCCCTGACACTGGCCAAGCCTCCTGCCTGGAATTCTGTTCAGTTGAATTTCCACATAGCTGTCGCCTCACAATGTTGAGACCTCTGCTCGAAGTTCTTCTCCTTAGGGAAACCTCCCCTAGCCATGCAATCTGCAACGTAAACTCCTCAGTCCCCATTCTTACCTCAGTGGGCTTTCATTCTCTTCATAATCCTTACACCTGTGTGACTGATTAAAGAAAATCTTGCTGGAAGCATTTATACAAACATGAATTTGCTTGTTTGAATACAAGCTTTTTAAAAGAGCTTTTCCAGAAGTTAGCAGTTAGTCTAGTGGATAGGGTAACCACCTCTCATATTGGAGTGCCTGTGTTGCGTACCTGGCTTTGGTTCCTGACCTCAGCTTCCTGCTAGTGCAGACCCTGGAAGGCAGTGGTGATGGCTCCAGTGATTGGGTTCCTGTCACCCACGTGGGAGACCTGGACTGCACTCCCAGCATCTGGTTCAGGCTCCGTCTGATACAGCCCTGGGCATTCCAGGTAGTCAGGGAATACCTGAGAGCAGCTGATGGGAGATACATCCATCTAGCTGTCTATTCTGTCTGTCTGTCCATCTATCATAACTAGGTCGCTCTCTCTCTCGCTCTCTTTCTCTCTCTCAAGTAAAACACTTGTAAACATAAATACACTTTTAAAAATGTTTAAAGAGCTTTCCCTTTTATATTGCTGTTCCTAACTGCTATATTCTGTGCCCCTTCATTGCTTTGTTATTAAATCTTCAAAAAGTTTCCCTGGCCTAATCGCCCACGGAAAATTTTAACTTTTGCCATTCACTCGCCCTCCCCAAAAGCAGAGATATTAGAACATAAGCTGCTTTTCCCATAAGCAGATCCCATCCCAGGTGTAAGCCTTAGCTAAGTTACTCCTCAAAGCTCCGAAGTCTGTGTTCCTGTAGAGTTAAAGGGAATGAGTGCCTCTCACTTAGAACTTAGTTTTGGTGCTTGAAGATAAAGTAAATAAGTGCATGAAAATATTGGTGACCTTACTTGACAAATAAAGAACCACATGCTATAAAGCACGTGAACAGAGCCCAACAACTACTGATCAAGAACATGGAAACCACCACTGCAAGTGCAGCGCCCCCATCTGCCCTTCTGGGCACATTCAGGCACATCGTCATCAGTGGCACCTGTTCCATCCCCGGAGCACTTCGCAGATGCACTTCTCTGCCCCTCATGAAGATCTCAGCTTCCCGGCTGGAAAGATTGAAGCAGTTTGCAAGAATGTGATTTTCCAATTTAGTGATCCTTGAAGTAATAAAAGCGCTACACGTTTGAATCCCGGTTATGCCACTTCCTGTATTCATGACTAGCAGCAACTTGCATA